ATGACACTTCATGCCCTGGGAGGGGAGGGTGAAACAACCTCCTTTGCCGTTGCTGACGATTTTAAAGACATATGGAGACGATACGCATCTTCAGGCATGGTTGGGAATACCACTAATGTTACATCTACTGGTATACATGGCTCTGCCTCKATCCATACCCTTTTAAAACCCGGTCAGAAAAAGTCGCTGACAATTATAATGTCCTGGTACTACCCCAATCGCGACCACGCAAAATTAAACATTGGRAATTTTTATACAAATCTCTTCACTTCAAGCCAAGACGTCGCAGAGCACATGCGCGAGAACATCTTAGAGACKGTAGAGAATATCTTAAATTGGCAAGAACCATTCCTCCTKCCGAGCTCGTTCCCACAGGGAACCCAACCAATGAATAAATTGCCTCTGTGGTTGAATGACATGTTAATGAACAGTGTTAGCTATTGGMGGTCGTCATTTTGGACTAGAGATGGACGATGGAGACAATGGGAAGCTTACGACTGTAACGATATTGATACAATACATAATGATATGCAGAGGATACTACCTTATATGGTATTCTACCCAGGTAATATGTTAATGATGCCGCCATCTTGAATGTTGAAGAAATTATGGGATGTCCATGGAACAAAAGCATGCATCGGTATGCAGAATGGTACTAACAGATTAACTTCTCTGATTAATTTTGGATTTTTAGACAAAATTGAATCATCGCAATTCATTTTCATACTTGAAGTGCTATCTTCATAGTTGCATCTAACATTGTTGCTATTGTTCTTGTTGTTTTAATTGTTTTGTATGATTTTGTATAAGTTTTTTGTTGATTTTTTTTCAGAGGTTGTACGACATCTGTTACTTACTTGGGCTGCTAACCAATTATCTAATGGAATGATTGAAGAAACTTTGAGCGAAGGCTGTCTTGGTTCCACTGGAAAACTGGGTAATAATGCTCTCTCTTTTTCTTGCAATGTTGATTTATTCATTTTTGCGTTCAGAGTGAAGTCAAAAAGCCCGTGAAACACATATAACAAAAGTGCATCTAAATATTTTTCAATTGTTTTCTTTTGAATTCTGTTTTTTCAATGTTTTGTGCTTATCTGATTATCACACTTTAATAGCCAAGAGTTGTTTTTCACGGACTTCACTCTATTAGATAACTATTAGATTTTGTTACTGCACTAATTACGTTGTTTTCTTTTAGAAATGTTATCAGACTAACACACTTTCGTGGCCACTTATTACGTTTCGTTTTTACCTCATTAAATTATGGATTTATAGACCTCTGAAGATTTTAAGTCATATACCGTATACGATGCATTGTAGGATATGTTTGGCATAGAACATGGCGGATTTCTTTTGTTTTCTTCGGACACCAATCCCACAATGCAATTGGAAATTAGGTAGATGACGTAAAAACTTCAGAAGTCTATTGTTGCCTCATTCTTTAATTTCTGTTTCAGACAATGCAGGAGGACGTGTGATGGCGGACAGTACCTCAATGTTTGTGGTTGGTGCATATTATTACTACAAGTGGACTGGAAACACGGATGTTCTTAATAAACTCTGGCCCTCTTGTAAGAAAGCTATCACATGGCTGATCGTTGACAGTACAAAAGGTAAAGATATGAGTATGAGAGTACGTATACTCTGCACGACGTATTCTCTGTACGACTGTACCTATACTCTAAACGACTGTACGTATTCTCTGTACGACTGTACGTATTCTCTGTACGACTGTACGTATTCTCTGTACTAATGTGCGGACCACATGACACTCCTTCTGAGATACATGATATAGAAATAAAGGAATGTTGTAGTACATCGAAGCGAGACGACTGTTGAGGGTGCAATGATAGAAACCTTCTTTCACACCTCCTTCTTTCACACCTACAGGCAATTATTTACAGGTATCTATCACTGCACCCTCAACGGTCGTCTCGCTTCGATGTAAAAGCCCGGCTAGCTTTCAAGATGGCGCAGGGAACCGTGAAGAAGACTGTTTGTTTAATACTCACCTTCTCCTACACCATGTTGTTCCCCGTGAAGGAGACTATTGATCGTTATATATTTCGGGATTTASRCTGACTCACTTGATTTTCCAGGTACTGGACTACCATTTCGAAAAACCACATTTTACAGCTTATCAGGTATCGATAAATACGACCACCATCTCTACGATAGTATGGTCTACCTTTTGGCGCTAAGAGCATCACGTGACCTGGCCATTCGTGTACACGATTTTGCATTTGAAAGGACTATATCCGCTGCATTAGACAGAGGACAGTCATTAGTCGAAATAGAGTTCTGGAATAGGCATAACAACCATTATAGAGCTTGGTGGGATATGGAGTATGGCGCTGGTGATTGGTTAATGTCTGACTCCTTYTATGGGCAGGTTGGTGTACCTTAATTTACTCCCAGTGTCCTTTGCGGTAGCTGCTTATTCAAATGCCACATATTTTCATGATAACATGCCTTGTTATAAACGTAAGTACAACTCTACCATTGAGTCACTTTCAATCTAGGTATGGGCCTATACTCTTGGCCTGGGGGATCTRGTACCCAGAGAAAAATTACGTCATCACCTTGAAATGGAGGTCGAAATTAACGGCTCACCTTGGGGTCTGCGGGTTATCGACGACAAGCGACCAGCAATGACCGAAGAGGACACTTCTCTGATATTAAGCTACAAATATCCCGGATGTGAGTCCCTGGAAAACGTCTCAAAGCATAAGTCTATTTGGATGGGAGCAGACGCTAATTGGGCAACGTTGATGATACATCTTGGTAAGATTTAGAATAAAGTAATACTATAGAATTTTCTCTTAWGTTGATGATATATCCTTGGAGAATATACCAGGGTCTGAAATAACACATAATTGWACCGAATGTGATAAATGTTTTTATTCGGAAAAGACGTAGGAGGGGTCAGCGGTATAGTACATTGAATAACTGATAGTCTAAAATTGGTAAATTCTTACTTGATCTCGATTTCGGACATTCAATTGATTACCATATTTACAATTGTGCATGTTCAACGTGTGAGCGAAATCAAGAAAGGTTCCAGCTAACCATTAACCAATAGAACACTCTTACTCGTTTACAACCAAACTTATTAATTTCAATAACCATTATTTGTGGTCTTATTTCATTGTGTCGACAGAAACCGACCCTAACAAAGCCTTAAATCAAGCCAAGAAGCCTTTAGACCATTGGAGATCCTACCTCAACGACCAGTGGAATATTCATGGTGAAATATCCTCAGGGGGGTATGGACAGGATGGACTGCCGTGGGCTAATTCACATTCAAATGCTCACTTAGTAATGTGGCATATTCCTTTGGCGGTCAGCGGTCAACAGTATTCGGCACCAGACCTCTCTCTTACATTTTGGCCAATGATGCAGATTCCCTTTCAGTTGCCTTTCTTTATCCCGACAGCCACTGGGCTTATTGAAGGCAAGATGGTGGGAGAAAATGAYTTCTTCCCTGARGAGATGTTCACATTTCGAGTAACATCGGGTAAGATGAGTTTTTATTAAAAGATTTGAATCAGTATGCATCTATTACAGAAGACATTAAACACTGAATACTGTATTTTGCATAGTGCATCCCAAGACCGCAATGGATTGTTACTCTTAAGTTAGCTGCATTACAAAAAGACAATTACGTCTATGAACGCGCATGCAGTAGCGAAAACGTACGCAATATCGCTCAATAAACGTTGCTTGCTTTACGTCTCTTACGTCTCTTAGATTTTATCTATGAACGCGTGTGCAGTARCGAAAATGTACGCAAAATCGCTCAATAAACGCTGCTTAATTTACGTCTCTTACGTCTTTCAGATTTCGTCTATGAACACGTGTGCAGTAGCGAAAAATAAGCAATATCGTTCACTATAAACGCTGCTTGCTTTACGTCTCTTTTTTCAGATTTCCTATGAGCGSGCATGCATTACTGAGAACGTGCGTAAATAAACTCTGCTTCAGGCTGAAGCGTAGACGGAGTTAAATTAACCAAACGTTATCTTTTAGGTGAGGTTAAACTTAAAGAACTGAAGATATTTGGCGCTCCATATGGACGAGGTCTAGTACATCTCAAGGCAGGGTCAGTAGTATCTTGGTCAAAACCTAGAGCAAACGTTAAAAACATACTGAGTGAGTTAAAAAATCGACGCAAGTGATTGTTAGACTGTAAATTTATATAGACTTTATAGACAGCGCTAGCCTCCACTGCAGGAACAATGCATTTTGATTTTTGGGATTCCTGTGGTATCGTCATAGTCTCATTCGGTTTTAGTATGAGGAATTAGACAGGAAGCCCAGGAGTAGTATAAAGAGAGGCAAAACGGACACGATTCGGAGGAAGCTAAGTTCTCATATCGCGAGCAATGCAACTTCACCTTTTTACAACAAAACTAATGTAATATGCATCGTCATAGTCGCGTGATTTAATTTTTTTTGGCAAWAATTTCTTTACGTCGTAAGTTGTTGATGCCGGCGTTGCAATCAACGTTGCGAGCTGTCAGTTATTCATACAAAACGTACAATTGCATATAATGAGAGCCTTATATGGTATGTATGTTTTTATTGGACTTACTTGGGCAAACACCTCAAGGTCACATTAGCCATACCAACGTTACAATAGATGATAAGAAATAAAAAATGAAATGATCACACGAAATATCGATGCACGGAATTTTTCATTCTCATAAAAATCTTTTCAAAAAATTTTAAAAATTTAAAAAATCTAACTTATTATTTAAATGTAAACATTTAAAAATGAACAAATTTAATTGTATTAATTAACTGTGTATAAAACATTTAAAAATMTGTTTAAAAATTCATAAATTTGAGCTAGATATGATTTTTATAGAAAGAAAAASATAAACTTTAACATTGTATAAACATGAAATAAAACAAGAACATATAACATCTTTAATTTTTGTGTGGATTTTTGTTGTTTTGTTCCTTTTCATTTGGTACAGTACATTAACCGTTGATGAGCATTTATTTTGTATTTGGGATCCCTGTTCTGCTTTTAAACATAGGGATCCTACACCAAAGTGGCCATGAATAAAAGCATTGTTCTTGTTGTTTTTCTAAGTAATTTCATTTTCATTTACTGATATCCTAACGTCTTATTTTGAGTGTAAAACAATAAAAACCCTCCTTTTATGCCTAAGGATTTAAATTTCTCATCTTATCCAGTTACAACGTTTTTGAAAATTATTATCAAATTTAAAAAAACAATTTCTTCACTGACTGTTCTTTAAACTCATTTTCCTAACAAGATATTTATAAAATATTTATATWAAAAATGCGAAATTTATTCTTTTCCCTCTATCTAAATCAATTTTTAAGATTCAAAGTTGCTGGGCAATGTTTTTGTAAAATACAGCTATATTTCTCTCCCATTCCACGTGATACTTTTTTTCTCCATTTTCGTGATGAGCTTTGTTCTTACAAAAATACATACACACCCCACTGTTTGACTCCCTGTTTAGATTTGATATAGAGCAAAGCAACAGTTAATCAGAAATTAAATGCTCCCTATGTACACTAGATTGACTCTCGTTGTTGTGTTCAAAAAGAAACCGAAAGGCTACATGGGAAGAAAATTAATTAAACGAATAATAAATGAATGATTTCATGGATAGATTGACGGATGAATTAACAGATGGATGAACAGATGGCTAAATGAACAAATGAATGGATGAGTAAATGGATGGATGAACAAATGAATGGATGAACAAGTAAATGGATGAACAACTGAATCGATGAGCAAAATGAGTGGATGAACAAATGAATGGATGGATAAATGAATGGATGAACAAATAAACAAATGAACAATTGAATGGATGAATGGTTGAGAAATGGATGACTGGATGAACGTCGTAAACCTCAACTTCTTCGACTCGTCTTCATCTACTGTAATAATTTTCCTTTCAAGCTATTTTAAAACTATCAAAGCGTCTCAAACAGATATGGATTGAACGGAAAACCAATTTGTTCCCAGCACGCTTTTAATTCTTTTTGATTAATAACATGCAACAGTTTCGCAGTAAGTCCGACTCGATTTTAATATCAAAACGGCCTTCGACCTTCGTAATCTTTCACTCATCCGAAAAGGATCATSTAAAACTTAAAACTGACGTTTATGGCTAAGTATTGTTTCCAATAAAGAGATTTGTTGTCAGTATACTTTAAAAGTATACTCGGCTTGAGGAAAAATCTCACTTAAGGTTTAGAAATATAAGTTCATACACAAAAAGGCATTTATTATAATTTATCTGTTCATTCACAATTTCACTATTTGATACAATGTCCCCGCAAAATCAAGGACATAAAAAAACAATCCCACAAAATTGTGTAGAAAAAAAAATCTCACTAGAGGTTTAGAAATATCGAAGCGAGTTCATAAACAAAAAGGGATTAAAGGCATTTATTATAATATATCTGTTCGTTCTTAACAATTTCACTATATAATACAATGTCCCCACAAACTCAAGCCCGTAAAACAATCCCTCAAAGATTGTGCATGTAGAAAAGTCCGTTTATACACAAAAAGTTACTCATAAATTTATATATCAGCTCAGAAATTATTCGTACAAATTTGACTATTTAATACAGTATYGCCACGAAAAAAGGTTACGTTAGTCATTTCATACACAAAAGGCAATTATAATGAATATATTCATTCATATTTCACTCTTTAATACAATATAATTTCTCGTCAACTCTTGGTAAAATTTCTTGATTGTTGCCAAGCAACCATTGAAAATATCTTCTGTTTGGCTTTCCGTAACAGGTGTCTTTTTAGAATTATTTCCTCTTTTGTTTGCTTAATGTTAACAATATCAAACGGCTCTCAATATACACAAAAAAATTAGTCATAATGGAGTTTTAACTTAAATCGCTCTGATCRACAAGAAAAGCTGTTCAAATTTTATTAATTAAAACAGTTATTAATGAAAATTTCAATATTGCGAAATCTAAATTTTTGAATCCGATAACGTTTTGCACGTAATAATTCATTCAAATCCTTTGAGGGTATTTTTGCAAGTACAAGATATCCGTAACACTGTAGTTTACGTATGCATTRGCTGCTCTTACGCACGCCCTGATTGGTTCTATATCCATTGGTTGGTACGAGGGCCCTGATTGGTCCTATATATTGTTTTATTTTATCCTAAAAACCTACGACAATCATTCATTGCTAATACAACCGCCATCTTGAATTGTAAAGAATTTATGAGATATACAATGGAAACATATATTTCACATTAAGATACTAAAAAACAGTTGAAATAACCCAGTTTCGAATTCTCCAATGCTCTGTGTTAGCCTCATTTGTGCGCATAATATTCCTAATTGTGAGAATAAAAGTGTGAGATTTCAATTCAATTCTATTGTCTTTCTTTTCAAATTCCATGCGTTTTCACAGGCTATCAATAAAACAAAAGAATATGTTACTTGGTTTTGAGGCTAACACAGAGCAAACCAGAACTCGAAATTGGAGTATTCATAGCATTCTCAAATCCGTACAGTCTATGAATGCCTTTTTAAGTTTCTACTTAATCGAAAACAATGGAACAGGTTCAAAATGGCGACCTTATTCTTCTTTTTCAAGTTACCTCACAGCGGCTATCTTGAACAGGAACTTCAACAAAGAACTACTCATTAGTATCTRTTGTTTATTCCTCCAACATGGCCGCAGTTCTTTTGACTTTTGAATCTCATGGGAATGATTGAAAACGATCAATTGGGTAATAACTAAGGTCGGTTGATTATAAACTTTCTCTGATTTTTCAGTATTAAATTTCCCGTTGAAGTATTCCTTCTCAGTGAGTGAGATTTGCCACAGATAAAAAGATGCGTCGATATCTCATAATCTCAGCTTTACATAGATAGACGATACAATCACCTTTGAAAAGGAATTAGGTAAAAAAGAAGCTATTTAAAAGCTTTCAGCCACTAAAGACTGGCCGGGAAATATGACTTCTTATCGCTGGATTCAGGGGCCTATAATAGATAGGCGTGAGATAAGACCGATTATTATGTACTTGAGATATTACGCACGATCTGATTGGTTGAGAAGTGTGTTATATTATCGATTATTATATACTTGAGATATTACGCACGTTCTGATTCGCTGAGAACTGTGTTATATTAGTGCGGAAGCGTAATAGTGACATCATCTTAAAAATAGACAAAATTCCATTATTTTGACAATTGATATTATAGAGCAGCTCGCGGTTCTCCCATCACTTCCATCGTTCTCTTGTCACTTCCTATAATGTCACCTATTACTCACCAAAACACGAAGTCTTTTCTATTCGTTAATCAGCCTAGATAGATATCAAGTAGATATTAAGGGAAATATAGCATACATGCTTTTGAACCAATTAAAGCAGGATATGAAAAATGTCGGGATTCAAGGGATAGTTGAGTGGGTAGATGAATAACAACTCACTCAAACTAGAATCGATGTTCAGAAATATAAAGCAAGATTACAAACCTTTAGGGCCATGGTTAACTGACATCTTTGAAAACGCAAATACATCGTAATATAAGCAAAACTGTACTACTTATTAACCCTATATGCTCTAAGGAGGATGTTGTAACAGTTGATCTTAAAGGCTTGAGATTTTTCCGTCGCGCGACCATCGCCTGAGTTTCGAACTTGCTTCAAACTTAGCTGCAACCTGTGGCGATTTTCGATTTTCGATCGCCGCAACAATCGCAGGGCTGTTTACACGTACGATTTTAGGTGCGCGATAGCAAAGTGGCGATTATCGCGCAACAATGGCGCCGCAAAAATCGCAAGTGTAAACGGGGCTTAAAACGGATGGAAAACGATTTCAAACAGATATTGTGAAGTCATCTCATTTTCCATATAAGAAATATCTAGAACAAGACCGTGCTGAGGCCGGTTAATGACTTTAAACTAGTAAAATCTATATAAGAATTGCATTGACTCAGAGGCGCCGCACAGATCGGACAGTAATAAGATATTAGCTATATACAAACATACAAGGAATATATCAGCAATACCTTCATCAAGTAAAGATAATCAAATAAAAGGATGAATACATGGCCCCATTCATTTAGGGGGAATAAATGAATGCGGAAATTAAAAAAAATAATAAAAAAAAAATATGAAAAAGTAGTCACACTGGTTAAATAATGAGATTTAGGAAGGGATGGGGGGAGGGGTACATTTCAACCCCCATTCCACCCTCCCTACCTCCGATAAATTGTAAATTGACAGTTAAAAAGACGAAATGTCACTGGCTTAATTTTAATTTCGATGTTACGGTATATAATACCAACTACACATTATTAGTGTTACCTGTATAACGTCATTTTTTAGGGGTACATTTCAACCCCCATTCCACCCTCCCTACCTCCGATAAATTGTAAATTGACAGTTAAAAAGACGAAATGTCACTGGCTTAATTTTAATTTCGATGTTACGGTATATAATACCAACTACACATTATTAGTGTTACCTGTATAACGTCATTTTTTAAAATAGACTTAGATTTTGGACAAATTCATTGACTCATTCATTGATTGAAACATATTTTCAAAGAATTTTTTTCGGTGTATCACTCAATTTGTTTCACGGCTTAATGAAAATAACTTATTGACAAAGATTTTTGAAACCAGTACATTTAGCAATATTTGAGTTTTTACTTGACCTTTCTTAATTTATATTGACATACCACATAGTAAACATGGGTTGCCTGTGGTAACACAAAAGATTGGCAGAATGATGTCATATACGTATCGGTTGATGCGTCAAGGTTACTTTGTCTTGTTACAAGAATATTCACAATGCAAATAATAATAAAAGCTTTTAGACGTTAACAATATCAAAAAATAACGATTACGAAGCAAGTGCTTAATCTCGATGTTTTGAA